AGTACTCTAAAAAATCGACAGCCTCCAAGGACCCTTGGAAGGATTTTTTCAGAATTTTTAAAAAAAAACAACTAAGTCTTTGGGGTGGCTGGAGGTCGAGTTCCGGGGGTGTTAGCAGCCTGATGATTTTTTATATATTATAGGGGGGTATTAAAAGTACTCTAAAAAATCGGCAGCCTCCAAGGACCCTTGGAAGGATTCTTTCAGAATTTAAAAAAACAACTCTAAGTCTTTGGGGTGGCTGGAGGGGTAGTTTCGTTTTTTAGAGGAGTCGATATATCATTTTTAGGGCTATTCGTTTTTATTTGGAGCCGAAAAACCATTTTCAGTTTTACAAGCAAAAAAATTTTTTTTTTATTTTCGTTCATAAAAAAACGATCGGAACTTCAGGTACATGTAATTAGCACTTAAGTAATTAACCTTATATATAATTCCAGAGGTTTTTATTGAACTGTTTATATATAATTTTATAATATTATTATTGTATGTATATATATCGCCATAAGTCTTTACCATATTGTATATCTAATCATATTTTAACCTTGTTTCAATATTTAAATTTCAAGGTCCAAAACGATTGGGTATCGGGACAGGTAACGAAAGAAATACTAAAGCATAATATTAAAAAATCGATAATAGATCGTATAACCCTTTGCTCGCACGGGTGATTCCCTGTACTATCGATCGCGACCAAAGGGACTAATAATTTTGGCAAATAGCTTGAGAGGCGTTTTCTCAGACGTTTTCTCATCGAGGAAAATCGGGAACCCGCATTGATGTAAGTCGAGTGTGAATCTGGTGTCCTTGTTCGAGTCTCTGCCTGATAATTTGGTAAGTAACCCAAGCGTCACAAAAAAAATGTTGACTTTTTGGGAGATTTTATTTAACAAGAAGTCATAAATTTATAATTGTCAACTTATAAATTTAACAAAACATTAACAAAAAAAAATTTGTGCCGCTTGGGAACTCACAAGTTGAACTTTTTCGAGTATTTTTCGAGCACCGCGTCGTCTCCTGCCTTTCAGTAATTTATTTATTTATTGCATATCAAATATTTATTATTTTAATATAAAAATTTTAATTTTATTCCCGAGTAAGGGGCATCAAAATAAAGTACCTTTCCCGAAAGCCACGCGTTTGAGTCCCCAAGTTGGCCAGTGGTGTTTTAAATTTATAATTATACTTGTTTGAGATAATCCAACGAATGAATTTGGGTTAATCTTAATAAAATAATAGTCAGATAAGTACAATTTCTAATGATTTATAATTTCTTAATTCTACTATATATTACTTTTTCTCTTTCTCTCTCCTAATACTATTTGATTTTTCCTTTCCCCACGGATGCCTGTGGATTGGCCCTGAACATAAAGGGGTTTGTTATTTCCCTGATAGAAAAAAATAACTGACGTCCAAAGGTGCCCTAACAGCCTGAGTTTTAACTGCGGTGTTGCTTAGGAGACTGAGAGCACTTCCTAACTCCTCTATTATCGATAACTACAATTCATTTTGAGCGATCGAAAAGGTTTTATTTCGCTCGACGTCTCCGCCGTCGAGTTCTAAAAATAGTTAATCTTTGTTACAGGAATAAAATTGTTTTAAATTTTCACCAAATTATTTTCTTGTCACAACAATGTCCATTTTTTTCAAAAGAAATTTTTTCTCTCAGTGTAAAAGAGTTGAACTAGAATTAGATTTACAAATAAATAAAATTTGATTTCATTGGATCTAAAAAATTGATTTTCGAACTATAAAATCAATATCACGGAACTTGAAATTTCTATATTTCGTGATAGAAGAGTATAAGAGTGACAGAAAGAGCAGCATAAAAGAAAAGGTCAACAGAGAAGCTTATTTTACAGTCGAAACTAAAGTGCTGATTCCAGAGAGGTTTCACTGTTTAAAATAATAATTTTGTTGAATTATTTACCGAGAAACGAAGACCGGTTAATTAAGATTATCAAATTATCATTTGCAACATTTTAACTACTAAAAACGTGATGATGGTAAAGCCATTTGTCTGCATAGTCTTTTCAGCCCTATGGGGACATCCATTAATTACGTGAGCTATTTTTCGATCAGTTTAGACTCCTCCCCCCCTTAGGTGAGATTTAGTGAGATTTGTCTGGACCCCCCCCCTCCCCTTACGTGAGATTGACACTAAAAATATTTTAAATTAAAATTATTTTTATTATTCGGGAGAATAATAAACCATTCAAGTATACTATAGTTAATTTATTTAAATTAAATAAAATTCAAAGCAAAAAAGACTATTCGGCAGCCGAAATGGAAGTAGATTTCATCATAAATAGAAAAAAATATAACGAGGATCGTGTACAAAACTAGGGCTTCTAAATTCTATGCAATCGACAAAAATATGTATCGACAGAAAAATATACTAAAACCAGTGCAATAGCAAATTTCATAATTGGCATAGCGGAATAGGACATAATTTTGAGACTACACATATGATATAGTACTCAAATTGAAGTTTATTTAAAGAGCTTTCAGATGCATTTTACAGAATTTCAATAAGTTATCCCATTCAAAAGTTATTCGAGTAAGAAAGTGAAGAAATGTGAATTTTTATGATTTTGAAAATTTTTAAATCCTGGCATTTCTAAAAAATTTTACGACTACACATATGATATGGTACTCAAATTAAAGCTAATTTCAAAAGCTTTCAGATGCATTTTACAGAATTTCAATAAGTTATCCCAGTCAAAAGTTATTCGAGTAAGAAAGTGAAAAAATATGAATTTTTATGATTTTTAGAATTTTGAAATCCTGGTATTTCTAAATTACTTGACCGATTAAGCTCATCTTCGAACTTGACTTTAGTATTTATCTGTAGAATAAGTATGTTGAGTTTTTTTAAAAGTTCTGTCATGAGGACCAATGCAATAGTTAGATTTCTATGAAATCTACTAAAAAACATAAAAACAAAACTTTTTTTTAAATTTTTACTCAATCCATGGAGACTCATGTACTTTTTTTATAGATACATATTATAATTTATATTATAATTATAATGTTAAAGAAATCCACCATTAGCTCTGAGAAGAACTTGTTTAAATCATCAGCGTAAATGATTTTAATAGACATAAAATTTATTTTAGCGGGCAAAATAAATACTCAAAATAATTTTTTTTTAATGTCTGTAATATTTTATATTTTTTGAAGTTGAGGTGAGATTTTTGATTATCCCCCCCTTCCCTTGGTTTAGATGAGATTTGGTGAGATTTCATTGGACCCCTCCCCCCCCCTCCATTCTAAGCTCACGTAATTAATGGATGTCCCCTATTATACTAAAACTATTAAGTTTCTCTATTTTAGCAAGCTTTTATTGGCTTGACCTGTTAATTTTAAATTTCAATCAATATCCTCTAAATTATTGTTTTTTCGTGACGTTATCGTCGAGGTAAAAGCGTCACTGGTTATCTCTTATGAACTAGTGCAAAGGCATCGAAGGGTTTTGTGGAGAGTTAATCAATTCGCTTAAGAAATATCGTTGTTGAAAAATATTGAGAAACTATTTTTTTAAAAATAACTTTTTAGCTATTTTTCAATTAATTGAACTTGAACAAAAACAGAACAAAATTAATGATCCAAGAAATACTAATGATATTCTAAAACTTTCTTTTGAAATTTCCCGCTAGGTTTTCTACTACGTCATCAGCATATGGTGGAATTATTTTTATTTTTCATTTTACTCGTTGTTTACATTATACGAGGTGTCATATCTGTTTAAATTATACATTTGATTACATATACCTGTGTAAATAGTGTAATTTTTTAATTACTTAAAAATCTAATTGTTTTTTTCAAATATATGTTACAGTATTTTGACAAATAATAAATTTATAAATGTCTATTGTCATTTATCATTGAAATTTAAAATCCTATGAATATATATAACTTATATTTTCTAAATAGTATTTTTTGAAAATTGAATTTTTATACAGGTCATTTATTGGAAAATAAATTTAATAAAGTATAAAGCCAATTGAATTTGTATTGTAACTTGATAGTAAAATAGTAAACAATACTGATAAGGATTAATCAGCATTTTTTAATAAAGCATCGATGTCCTTGTAGGATTACAAATCAACAGTCATTTAGCCACGTTAACATTTTTCATATTACACTGGAAGACTTGGAAACACATTGAAATTGAAGCTATTGAATTATTGAAACTACTCCCCTTTTTATTACTACAATTATAGTTTTCAACAGAATGGCAACCGGTGAAAAGCGTATTGCATTGATAACAGGGATAACAGGTCAAGTAAGTCGATATTGTAAATAAATTAATTAAAATAACTAATTATTTATGACACTGAAGTTGACAAATATTGGAATTTTTTTAGAATTTTATAGCAATGAAATTATTATAGAAAAATTTCCATATGTGGAAGTTAAAAAAATTATCAGTGGAAATTTATAAAAGTATTTTTATTATTTTATATGATTTGTTATAAAAATTTTTAAAATTGACAGCTGACAGCTAATTTCAATATCATAATTATTTTATAATTGATTGATCTGTTTAATGAAATGATTACAGGATGGGTCTTACCTAGCAGAGTTTTTGCTAGAGAAAGAATATGAAGTACATGGTATTATAAGAAGAGCTAGTTCGTTTAATACTACTAGGATCCAACATCTTTATGCTGATCCTAAAAGTCATAAACAAGAAAAAATGAAACTACATTGGGGTGATATGACTGATTCGAGCAGTTTAATAAAAGTTATTGCTGCTGTTCAGCCAACTGAAATTTATAATCTTGCTGCTCAAAGTCACGTTAAGGTTTTGTGACAAACAAATTTATAATCAATCAATTGAAATTTGTTTTTATTATTGTTACCCATTAATGAAAAATATTTTTTTTTTTTTCTTTTTTTTAGGTGAGCTTTGAACTGAGTGAATACACCGGTGAAGTTGATGCTATTGGTACCGTTAGACTATTGGACGCAATAAGAACATGTGGACTTGAAAAAAAAGTTAAATTTTATCAAGCATCAACATCCGAGCTTTATGGTGGTAGAGATGCATCAGCACCACAAAATGAATCGACACCTTTTTATCCACGTTCACCGTATGGTACGATAAATATTTAATAGTACTTTTTGTCTAATTAAAATTTTTAACTAATTTCATAAATTATAAATGTACTGTACATTTGCTAATTATTATTATTATTTCAATTAACAGCTTGTGCCAAAATATATAGTTACTGGATTGTTATAAATTACCGAGAAGCTTATGGTCTATATGCATGCAATGGTATTTTATTTAATCATGAAAGTCCCAGAAGAGGTGAAAATTTTGTGACTAGAAAAATTACCAGAACTATTGCGAAGATTTATTTAGGAGCACAAGATGTATTAGAGTTGGGAAATTTAAACGCAAAGAGGGATTGGGGTCATGCCAAAGATTATGTTAAAGTAAGTGAAAAAAAATTAAATTAATTTTTATAATTAAAATATTTATAAAGATTAAATGTTGGGATGATTAATTTAGGCGATGTGGATGATGCTACAGCAAGAAAATCCAGAGGATTATGTGATAGCAACCGGTGAGAGTCATAGTGTACGAGAATTTGTTGAACTGGCCTTCCAACATGTCAATATAAACATTATTTGGGAAGGCACAGGAGTTGACGAAGTAGGTCGTGATAAAAATAGTGGGAAAGTATTAGTTCGAGTAAATCCTAGGTATTTCCGTCCAACGGAAGTGGTAAGTATCTTGATTCATTTTTTTTTTATTATTATTAATTTATTGTTTCTTGATAAATTGAAAAAAAAAAAAAAAAAAAAACTTGCTTTTTTTTATAAAGGGAATGCTCCTTGGTGATGCTTCAAAAGCCAAAATGAAGTTAGGATGGGAACCTTCAGTTTCTTTCAAAGTAAGTTTTGATATGGGTTTTAATTTATTTTATTATTAATTTTTTTTTAACTTACTAAACATATTTTTATTACAGGAGCTTGTTGAAGATATGATGAACGCTGATTTGGCTTTGATGAAAAAAGATCCAACAGCTTGATTTTAAGTATTTTAAAACATTTGATGCATTCCTTAACGACAGAAATCAACGAATGACTGTTGTATCTGACATATGTATCGATAAAATTATTAATTTTATAATTGTTTATTTGTAAATAAAAAATATAAAAATTATTTTATTTTTATGTAATCAGTTTCCTAACGAATTAATTTTACTTCTCGCAGAGTATTTATTATTATTATTATTATTGAAAGCTGTAAATTTAAATTCATTTACTTTTTATAAATTTAATCTTAAAAACATGATACTGAAATCAACAGACATCTTATAAGTTTTTAGATTTTTACAATAAATTATTATTAATGAAAAATTGAGTAAAATAATGCTACACGTAAAAATAAAAAAAAAAAAATTGAAGTGCAAATTTTCAAAAATATTTTCTTTATTAAAGTTGATTTGTGATAAAAATTTTAAAAATTATCAAAAGTCTGCTGATTTCAGTATCGCGAAAAAACAAGACAATTACTGAAAATTTATAAAATAATTTTTTTTCTTCTAATAATTTTTCGAAAAAAATGAAATAAACTTTTTATCGAATATAAACCCAAGTTTGAATAGAAGCGATTTTGATGTCATTTAACTTAGCATATATTTAATAATTTGTTAAATTCTATAACAAATAAATTATGGCAAAAAAAAATTGACATTTTTTAAAAATGATTTTTTGGGACAAATTTTTTCGTTAAAAAAAATTAAAAAAATGTTAAGTGACTGCTAACTTTAATGTCATGCTATTTTGTTCTTTTACGATTATATGATATTATGGGTAATAAAATAATAATTGAGACATTTTTACATTATACGGTAATTACTATAAATTTTTTGATAATTTATCATATTTAAAAATTGATAATTTAAATAAATATGACTATGACGGTGTAAATACACAAGTAATTTCTCATGTCTGTGTATTTGATACCGCTAGAAGCGCATGCGCATAAATAATTTTGTCTAAATTTTGTTTTCACGAGATTTGTAATTCTAACCCTCAAAATTCGAGTTAAACTGTTATTATAGATAATTTTAATACTTAAATTTATTAATTGTTTGCATTCTTAAAAATCATAAATAATTATCAAACCAATAAGTTTTTTGAAGTGATACGTTTTTTTTTTTTTTTAGGAGAAAAATCTGGCTGAAAACAATTTATAACAATGAATGTAATTAATCGTTTACAATTGTTTAATTTTTCAAAAATAAACATAAGAAAAATACAATCAAATGCAGCACTTGTTGATAATTGTCAAAATGTTCATAATCGAAATCCTAGAAATTTGGAATATTTACGGATTGCACACCGACCACACGGTTATCATTTAGAAAGAAAAATTCCATCTTATTGGCACAAGTAAGTTACTTAATTATTGAAGGCGTAATAGAAAAATTTTTTAATTTTTATTATCAATTTTTTTTTATATTTAAAATCTAGGTTGACTCTTACACGTTCAATAAAATATGTAACTTTTGAGATAGAGCATTTTGAAAATGGAGTTGTTTTGAGTGCATCAACTAAAGAGTGGCCAATAAAGAAACGATTATACAGGTACGAAATAAAAAATTATTTTATGTATATAAAAAAAAAAAAGGTTGTTAAATAATAATAATATTTTTACCTTTTTTGTTATGTTTCAGATGTCAAGATAGCGCGGCTTACATAAACCTTGGCCGTGTATTAGCCCAAAGATGTTTGGAAAGTGGAATATTATTCGTTCATGCGGATCCCGATTTACCAGATTGTGAAAAAACAAATTTAGCATTGCAACAATTAATTAACGAGGGTATTTCACTATCTGAACCATTACGCTATATTCATCCTAATCCTTGGGATATTAATAGACCCGAAAAACCATGGGAAATTCATGAAAATTAATTTTATTTTGTAAATTACGATTATTAATAAACATTAGTTATTTTCTTTATAACTAATTCTGTTAATATTACATTTTATATTAGTTAAGAAAATAACAAAAAATTAACAAAATTAAAATCAAATTTTTCATTTAAAGTCTATGAAATTGAAAATTTATTCAAGGGATTTTTCACTTTGGTATTTTTACGGTATTTAAATTTTTTATCTGAATTAAAAAATTTTTTAATTTACTTAGAACATATGGATAGGTATAAAATGGAAATTGATTAAAAATTTCTTAGGCAATGTTTTAATAATAAGTTTAGATAATTAAATTCTCTTATCAAAATTAAATTTCTATTATCAATACAAAGTAAATTATTTTAAGAATTATTGAATACAATTAATTATTTGTCAGTTATGGCAATAAATTGCGACTTCAACTGTTTCAATAAGAGGAAATTATAATTTACCAAATTACAAAAGTTAGTTTTTCAATAACATAGTTCAAGTGTATCACAAGGAATCCATTTAGAACTTTCTAATGCATCCCACATGTTGTAATCTTGCTCGATGATCTCGCGATTGAGTTTATCGCAGTCTACCGGGAGTGAGTGCTCTAAAAAATCAATAATTTATACTATAATAATAATTATGATTGAATATTACACAAGTAATCAGTGGTCAATATTTTATTTTCGTATATAATTATTTTATTTAATAAACTTACCAATAAGTTCAAGTTCATCTTCTTCAGGTTTCTGTTCAGAAACATATGGACCATAGACATCAGCAGTTGGTTCACTTTCATAGTAACCCTGTTGCCATGCACTGTAGCTATTCCAATACGATGAGGAATCATAATAGTTATATCCATCTGAACTAATATTTGTTGATGAATATTCCGATGATGACTGGGGTGGAGTTGACCTATAAATCAATCACAAGGAATAATTTAAAAAAATATTCTTCTCAATTATTCTAGAGTCTTTTCAATTGATTAACCCTATAAAAATACAATCAGTTAATACTTTACCCTGGAAGTTTGTTCCATGGCCTGGGGACAGCGTTGCATATTTTCAAAGATTTTGTTCCTAATCCTCTGTATCCATTCATAGCAACTAAACTATTTTTTTGTTCCTCCTCATTAGCAAATCTCACAAATCCATAGCCTTTACTAAATCCTGAACTGTCTAAAATAACTTTAGCAGTGCGTATAGAATTGTATTTAGCTGCAAATGCTCGATACAATGAATAATCATCAACATCCGTTGATAAATCACCAACCCAAATACTGAACTCACGATCGGCAGCAGGTTTTCCTGTAGTACTTGCATGATTTAGTCGAAATCTAACAGTCTGAAATAAGTAATAAAATTTTTAATTTAATGTTATTAAAAATAATCGTCACTCGTGTAACTTTATATCTATAGAAATAATCTATGTAATTAAGAGAATAATGAAAATTTAGTCTCTGGCGTATTTATATGATAGAATGAGTTTTTTTTTAAATTAAATTTAGTATTATTGGAAATTTTGTATCATCAAAAAATTGTTGACAATTTTGTTGACAATTCAATTTTTTATATTAAATTTTTGGAGCAGTTTTGAATAGTTTGTTGGTTTTATAAATTGATTTCGTCACATTTGTCCGCTAAATTATTTGTAATTAATCCAGTTATGGTACTATTATTTTTTTAAATATATTTAAAAAGTACTCAAACGATTTAAGTATAGTGTGATTATAAATTTCAAAAAATCGTTAAGCCAAAGTTTTATTATTCTTAATTTGTGAATCTCGGTAGTCGCATAGTGACTGCAGGTTTGTTAGTTATAATTATTAATATTACAAAATATCAACTTACCGGGTTAGATCCTGGAATTATTTTACCGTTTAATTTGTGCATCGCATCAAGTGCCATTTCGTCGGTTGGAAAATGAACAAAACAATAACCTGCTGGTTCACCAGTGTATCTGTTTCTCATCACTTTAACTGTCTGTGGTTGTTCACCCATTTTGTGGAAAGCGTTCATAATAAAACTTTCAGTCATATACGGTTCCAACTAAAATATTGATACAAATTAATTATTTAAAATTTTTAATTAACATTTTTTACATACAAAATAACAATAAAATATTCTCAACATCTTTAACCTATAAATTTCATTTTTATCCAATTAAATTTTCAATTTGTATACAAGTGCATTATTTAACTAGATAAAAAATCATTTTACAATATTTTTCATAACATAACAAATTTAACTATCAGGATAATAAATAATAATAATTTTTTGTACTTACACCACCCATCCATAATTGACATAAAATCATAGGGCCAGACATTTTATTATTGTTTGTCTAATCTTTTTATTGCCAAAATTGATAAATATATTGATATGAAGATTGCTATTTGATTTAATTCACAAATTTGTCTCCAATATTATGCTTTACTACCGGTACTTTTGTTTACAAGCAATAATAGTAACAATAACAATCAGTTTATAAAAAAAAAAAAGTACTGATTTACTGATTTGCCACTAGCGCCATCTCATCACAATTTTTTTTTTTTTTTATTCTTATATTTACCAATAGTAATAAATTTAATTTTCAACACTTTTTTATAAATAATAAAATATAAATAAATTTTTCATGTTATTACGTCAATGTAAATAAATATTAGTCTAATTAATTTTATTTCTGCAGTATGACTGAACAAATTCAAGTAAGTAAAATTCATATTTGTGAAAAAATAATAGAAACATTTTTTAATAATAATTTATTTTTTTTTTTAATAAAACCAAAAAATAAGCAGATTTTCGCTAATTTCAATACCATAAAAACCACTTATAAATAAATTATTTGAAAAAATGAAAATATTTGATTGTACATAGAAGCATAAAGAATAACAATTATTTTTATTAATTTTACAGGGTATCGATAAAAAGTTGGGAGCTTTAATAAATATTCATTGGTTTCCATTAAATTCCCAGGGTAATGTTTACTCAATGTCAAAATTATGCTCACCTTATGGCACTAATAAAATATTAGTTGCTTCATTGAAAAGGAAAATATTTTCTTGTGGATATCAACCGACTAATAATAAGATTCTTCGACCGCATGTTAAAGAATTATTATTCACTTACATACCGAGTAATAACAAAGAGTAATTTTTAATCTAAAAAAAAATATATATAACGTATTGCAATGTTTCACAAATATTTACATTTTTATAAATGTTTAGCTGGTGCTGAAATAATTTCTGTCGATGCATACAACAAACATCACTCTGATGAAGAATTTGTAATAGGAATAACAATTATAAAGCCAACCAACGAAGGCAGCGTTGAAAGATATCTAAATATTTATTCTGAAAGCACTGGAGATGGAGAAAATAATGAAACGTCAATTGAAACAATCGCTCAGAATTGTCTCACTGTTGAGTTAACATATACCCCATACTTGTTGTTTCATACGACTATACATGATGATGAAATCGGAGAAGAGGTTTTTAATAATTTACATTCACTTTTTTGGCCAAAATTTTTTCTCATTTTATTAAATTTGATTAATTATTTATCAATTCAACAGGTTGTTTGGCTTATTTCTGGTAGTGATAATCAATTACACATGATTCGTGAAGATAAGTTGAATCATGGATACACGGAATTTCCATTGGACAAATATTTTCCTGAGTTGATTAATTTACAAACTATTGTTTTGTGGATTAATGTTTACTACTATAATAATAATAAAAGGTTTGAAATTGAATTATTGATGTTCTATCGTTGTACTTATTATTGAACTAAAATTTTTGCTATATTAGAAATTAATTTTTATTTTTAGAAGATTGACTGCAGTATCCTGTGAATGTGGCTTAGTTAAAGTATCGTTAGTTGACGTAGAAAATAAAAAAAAATTAAAAGAATGGATGCTTCGTTACGATCGACCTGTATCAAGAATACAAATTTTTTCACAAGATAATAATTTGTCTGACCCATTTTGTAATGAAGGTAAATTTTTATTTAAATTCCATAAAATTGTATTTTTTAAATAATTTTTAATTGATTTTTAGATCTTAATAAGAAAAGAGATGTAAATTCGCAACCCAATTTAAATATTCTTATTGTTAACTCACTAGTTCCATCAATAGTTTTCACGTAAGTTTATAATTTTTAAAAAATTAATTATTTATGAAAATTTTAACAGGTACATAATTTCACATTTTTTTTAGAGATATTTTATCCCATGGTATGAAAAAAGAAATTATTTTACAAACAGGTGATAACACAGATTGTATTTTATCATCTTGCGTTGCTGACATTAATATGGATGGCAAAAATGAAATATTGTTAGGAACTTATAGCCATGAAATATTAATATTTATGTGTAATAATGACACATGGTCCTTGATAGATAAAAGAAAATTTGATTCACCGGTCCATTCGATCTGTTATTTAGATTTAACTGGTGATGGCGTTAAAGAATTAGTTGTACTCACGCAACGTGGTGTATATTTTTTACAGGTACTTATTTTTTTTTTTTTTTTTTAAGCTTTACTCTATTCTATCAATGACGAAAAAAAATAATTGTTTTTCTTTAGCATGAACCAAAATATACGGATGATTTATGGAGAAAACGATTTGAAAAATTTATAAAACAAAAGACTGATAAAATGATAGACAATAAGTGAAATGATCTACAAAATAAAATCTTTAAGATAAATTTATTAATTATTTAAAATTATAATTATGCAAAGTAAATAAATGTAATATACTTATGTATATTTTCTTTAATAATAAATTTTAATTATTTCGTTAAGAAAAAAATTACAAGTAACAATTAATGGCGGGTAAATTATTAAGTTCAGGACTTTAAATATTCACAAATTTATAAGTAATTTAATTAAAAATTTTCAATTTTATCGTGCTATTATATTATAATAGTTATTTGGTTTTTATACAAAAATTTTTTTAAATTTATTATACAACCCTTCTCACTTCAAAGAATCGTTTAAGATAAAATATTTGACCGACAGTCATAGCAGCTAATACAGATGCTTCGAAAATTGACCATAATACCACACGGAAATTGGTGCTTTCGTTGATAGCTCGGTGATTACGATCACGTACCTACAATGATAACATAAAATATTATAATTGTGATTTTATATAAACAATTATAATTATTAAATTTAATACTAATGCATACCAGCATGTACTCTTGCTCATTCTTAACATCACGTAAACTATTGCCCAAGTCAGTAATCATATCATCTAATTTACGATGATTGACAGTTTCTTCGTCAGTTGGAAGATTTTCATCCTTATTTTTGGCAGGCTGATGAATATCAATGTTAAACATAACATCTTTAGGTGTCATTGTACTTTTTTTATTGCTAAAACAGTAAGTATAACGTCCTTCAACGTTAGCAGCAAATGTGTATTTTCCACTTCCTTCTTGTTCACCTTCGTGGATAACATTTCCATCTGGTCCAACAATTTTTACATCAATATCTAAAAATCCACCTTCTGCAACTTCAAACGTTACTCCTGCAAATAATAAAATTGATAAATTTAATAATTATTTGATCTGTAATTGTAAAATAAGTATTGGTAAAAAATGATTATTGTTAATGACTAACCCATCTTGGCATCTTTTTCTATTTTTTCAAAAAAACATTCTTCTGCGTGTGCATCTACAGTTACAGTATAAGCATGTACACTGTAAAAACTACATAATAAAAATACTAAATTAAATAACAATATCATTTTGATATTTTTAAATTAAATTTTTATTTAACACGTATCTGTCAACGTTGATAATAACAAAATTTTCCTTTTAGTCTACCTCTAGTGCCACGTACGTATGACCGGCGTGAACCGTGATCAACTCTAGGGAATTTTGCACCTTTCATTTCTAGGAACACTTTTCTTTTCCCTAGTTAAATTGTCAAAATCAAAAACATTACTCAACAATCGTTTTTTCACAAAATAAAAATTAATTAAAAATTGTAAATAACTTTTATTAAAACAATTTATTTTACATCAATATTGTCGGTCTTAGGAATTTTATAATTGTTTAAAAAACAATTCAAATTTGGTCGTGAAACTGACTATTTTTTTAATTTCCCGGCATAAAATAGCGCTGCTGTCTGACATCTCTTTTGTAACGCGCCTACTATAATTCCTTTCTCGTGTGGTGTTAAGCGCGTGAGGTGTTATTTAATTTCGTTCAACGAAATCTAGATACATCACTTTAATAATTAATATAATTATTAAATAAACAGCCAAAATGCCACCAAAATTCGACCCTACTGAAGTTAAGAAAGGTATTTTTATAATATATCAATTTTTTTTAATTAGTATAACATATTTCTCATTGTGGTTGAGGTTATACCATGCTGTTTATTAAACGATACTAATACTAATATTGAGACATCTGATAATTTTTAGAAATTTTTTGACAAATAAATTATGTTAAAAAAAATTTATTCGTAAAATTCTATCTTTAAAAGCTTTTAAAAATTATAAATACAATTTTCAAAGATAAGTTTTTAGGCCTAGTTTATAATTTACAAACTTAAAAATCAAAAAATATAATGTCTACTAATTTCAATGTTATTTTTTAAACAATTTCAGTATTCTTGAGATGTGTCGGAGGAGAAGTTGGTGCCACATCTTCACTTGCTCCCAAAATTGGTCCACTTGGTTTGGTAAATATATATTGATAATAAATTTTTTATATTTGTGTTATAAATCACTTACATTGATCATATAGTGCATCTAAAATGTTAAGATTTTCCTTGATAGTTATTTAATTGGTGTGAATAGTCACTTTTTATTTAATTATTATTTAAAAGTAATTCTTATGTTTCAAAATATTTATTGGTTCAATTAATATTTTAGTCTCCCAAAAAAGTTGGTGACGACATTGCCAAAGCGACCAGTGACTGGAAGGGATTGAAAATCACCGTTCAATTGACAATCCAAAATCGTCAAGCAACTATCTCTGTTGTTCCATCTGCTGCCTCGCTAGTCATCAAGGCCCTCAAAGAACCACCACGAGACAGAAAGAAGCAAAAGAACATCAAGCACAGTGGAAATTTATCTCTTGATGATATCATCGCAATTGCTCGTACAATGAAGCCACGTTCTATGTCCCGTAACTTAAGTGGGACCATCAAAGAAATTTTGGGAACTTGCCAATCTGTAGGATGTACTGTCGAAGGAAGACCACCCCACGATCTTATCGATGAAATTAATGCAGGAGAACTCGAAGTTCCAGAAGAATGAATTTAATACTGATTATTTTGTAAGTATTGGACCCACGGTTGGCTTTCTATTATTGAGCTAAGTATTTTCATTTATGAAAGTAAAATTTATATGAAAATTTATATGGATAAACTTGAAAAATTTCAAAAATCAATACTAGTTAATGATGTTTACTTTTTGACAAATGAGTCGACATTATAGAAATTTGCAATTTTTTTCTTTAAATTAAAATTTAAATTGCTGGTAGTGTATTTTTATAATATCTGTTATATATATATACATATTTTTTTTTTAGTAATTGTTTAGCTTTCGAATATGTTCACAATAAAATTAAATTCCATCTAATTTAACTCTTCATACACTGAAAAAAAAAAATTTACTTGAATCGAGTAAATAATTGTGAAGAAATTCATCTTTTCGATTTGACTAGAAAAATTCTTAAACCAAGAAATTTTTCTTGATTTGAATAAATTTTATTTGGTTTGAATTCAAGAATTTTTTTCTTGATTGAATTTGATTTTTTTTTTTATTTCTTCATTATATAATTAAAATATTCTAAAAATAGTTTTTTTCATGATCAGATTAAAATTTTTAACACTAATATTTCTAATTTTTTTAATTTGATATTTATTTATGAGTAATCCAAATAAATTATTGTAAAATTCAATTTTGAAGAGTAATCGCAAAAGAAAAATTTATTAACTATTTATAATTGAAATTCTTACTGTGAGTTTTTTTTACCTTAAAAAAGATAGACATCCTTTATTAGTATTGTGGCCTAAGTCATTGTAACCACTAGTAATTGAATTACTTTCATAATGAAAATATTTCATACAATGTATAGAAATTGTGCAAGCTGATGATTTTGATCGCTATTGATAAACTTTTGAGATCGCTTTAATACATTAAACAATATTGAAATACGAGACAAATAAATTTATATCAATAAAAACACTGGGTTAAAATTTGTAGATTTTGGTAATATTATTTGTCTCTAAAATTGCATACTAAAAATAAAAATAAAAACTACATGATCAGCGCTTATTAGTTTGATATTGCTTCTAAAGTTCTTGCACTATTTCTTCGATAATAGAAAGTTTTAACTTACGGGTTCGTGGTCGAAGTTGGCATCTCATCCACCTGATGGGCATTTATTGAATTAGTGACTTTTATACACTTCATTAGCATTTTTGATATTGGATAAAACTTTATTAATGAACCCTATAAAAAAAAAAAAATCATGAATTTTTAAATAACAATTCATCTTGGTGACATTGGACTTGATCTTAAAACTTGAAATTTATTTTTTTTTTTTTTTATTAAAAATGCTATGAGACTAAGGAACTATTCAATTATGCTATCAGCAATTTTTGCCATTGAGGAGTAAACCTCAATAAAAAATCACAATAGTTGTTTAACCTATGTGTCAATAATTATATGACGGTGTTTTTCCGTTATTTCTAATCAAAATTATTTTATTAAATCAGTGGCTCTTGATTTTTTATATGTCAGTTTTAACAATATTTATGAATGACATAAAATTAAAACTTGTCTTTTGGTTTTTAAAGTTCTGGTTTATTGACATTATGGTTAATAATTAATTGAATTTTTTAGTGAAATACATTATCCTGATTATTTTTTTTTCTTGTAATGTTTTCAGATGATTCTGGGAGTTTTGGAAAATAAACATTTGAAAAGTTATATTTGTTTTTTTAATTATTTTTAATTAATCCTTAGTTTTTTTTAACGTGTTTTTGAATCATATACAAAACTTTTATTTGTAAGTTTTAGTTAAAATAATTATTAAATTAAGAAATGTGCGTAAAAAGTTTTTTTTTTGCGTTTGAATATAATGTCTGTTTGGGGTTAAAATTTTAAATCGGTTTGTTAATTTATCACCAAGAAATCAAGTTTTAATTAATGAAGCAAAAGATAAAATTAAAATTAATACAAAATATAAATGAATCTTTTTACTTATTCAAAGTTAAATTGAAGATAATCAAATTGAGAAAAAAAATTTTAGTAGAATAAAAATGTAAATAATTTAAAAATAGATTCGAATTCCGTAACATTTCTTAATATAAAGACTATCTTGAATATCTTTAAAATGAATTGATCGTTTATAATTCAATCGAATTTATTTTATTGCGTTCGAAAGGATGAGATTGATTTTAGATTTTTTTAATTTGACATCAATCCGCTTGATGATTTGAGAAACTTAAAAAATAAAGTTATCGATAAATTTTTTATTTCAATAGTCAAAACATTCGTAAATTGAAGCCCTTAATAATCATTATAATGCAATAGAAGTTTAAAACGTTGATATAATAAGTATATAGATAAGTTTTCATTGATGATTAAATCGTATTGGTATTGTTTTATATCCGGTAAATATCGATATTAGAACTACGCTTGAGTTTATATAAGTATGTTCTTGACTGAATATCACAGTGAAACTTTTAATAAAGTTTAGACAAGTTTTATAATAAAAATTACAGTATAAATCGGTAATTTCAGAGTTACAATTGAAAGTTTAGAACCAGTGAGTTATTGTCCGATAAAAACTGGATCATCGAAAAACGGGCTGACAACAACTTTCTTAAATTTTTAAAATTGATAATTGTCTTAAGACTTAAAAAATTGAAGATAAAAAAATAATTTTCTTTTCTTATTTAAAAGCTTTTATAAATCATAATTATGTCGATTCTCAGCGTAAATTTATTTTTATGTGACTTTATAGTTCCCGGGAGCCGTAAGGGTGTAATCTATTATACGCCCTTGTGACATCCGTAATGCGATATATGAAGAAGTAATAAATTTATAAATTTACAATATTCGAAATTCATTTTAAATGAAGCTATAGTTATGCAAAATTTCGAATGAATTATTTAATTTTTGTCCGAGTTACAACAACAAAACTTGAATAATATTGAATAGCTACTATTTATAGACTGGCGTGCTGTCAAAACAATAATAACATTTTATTAAGCTTTCTTCTGGAAAAAGAACTTAAATATAATGAAATCAATAAGCCTTAATTATTATTTTTTTTTATTCATTAACGAGTATGTATAAAAGTAACTAACGTAACCATTGCAAAATAATTTAAAATTCTCCATCAATATTTTTTTGAGTAACCATAATGGATAAAAAATGCGCTTTTAGATGAAATCTCCACTCACTAAAAATTTGCATTTTGTATCATTTTATTTTAGTATGTAAACAAGAAACTCGATTTGGGCACGCGCATCGATTGAATATACTTGAGCGAAAGCAAAGCCCTTTTTTATGCAAGGTAGCTAGGTGAATAAAAAATTCATTTAAAAATTAAACAAACAAGATAAGCTAAAGAAAAATATTTCAAGCCTTAAAATTCTTGTAATAAAAAATTTAATACATATTAAATTTAACTTTATACCAATTTCATAAACTTTTACTTAATATCTTTGTTATTTTTTTTATAATTTCTTATTCATGAGGTATCAACTTTTACTCCGTTATTTATTTTCTATGTTAAAAATATAGATTAAAAAAATACAAGTTTTTATATGAAAGCTTTATTAACAACTGTGATTTATGTTTTAGAAATTGATTAAATGGCAACGTACTACTTAGCAAAATTAAATTTTATATTATAGAATTAAACTTAATATTGTCTATTTTTTTCCGATTGTCAATAAAGTAAAAACTTATAAGGACTTTGTATATTTTTGTAAAAACTTTTGAAAGGTCTCTAGATAAATCGACTTTTAACGTTTATTAACAAAAAAAAATAAACTATATTTAAAGAAAAAGTGACAGTGCATAATCGCAGCATTAAAGCATCAAAGTCGTTGGCTTTATAAAAAAAAACTAACAAAATGATCTGAGAAGCATTTCACTTACGGAGCAGAAAAGAATAAAAAAAAAAAAAGTTATAATCGGATCATGTCAGGACAAAAAAAGGAATAAAAGAATATATTTATGACAATGGTACAACACAAAGGTATTTGAAAAAGCGATGTTGAATCCCATAGAGCCGTTGACTCAATATATTGAAAAGCCAATGTCGACAGTGGTCGTCAGGACTTTAGTCCTGTATTCTAGTTATACCAGCGGCAGGAGCAGTAATAACATTAGTTTCGATATCATGGCATTCATAGTGTATAATATATATATCACACAATAGAATTCGACCCCCGAAACATTAAGACCGAGTAATATCAAAGTTATCCATCTGTAACTAAATAAAGAAATATTCAACAGAGAATGCTAGCAAGGGTATATCGGCGCTCCTTAAATTTGGCGTCATCATGGCTACTAACCCCACCTGCGTCTAAATTTCCGTGCGATAATTAACATCATAGCTTTCGCGTCAAGTCGCGTCATCCCCAAAAGGCAAAAGGAAAATCAATAAAATCCCGCGTCAACGGCCGACCACATACGTTCGCCGTCTCGTTTCTACAACATATTTTGCGACCCCTCAAGTTGGTTGTTCCACACTCCCAAACGGAGTCCCAACAGTATTGTTTAAGGGTGAGGGGACTTGCTGTTATACTTTGTTCTGTACTCCACATACCATATACCATATACCCCTTCACATGTGCTTGAGCCTTCAACCATCCGTCCCCGCATTCATATGCTATGGTGAACCAGAGCCTTTCCTTTTCTCTTCTCTAATATAATACATCCTTGTTGTCGTCGTGCTCTCATAATTATCTAACATCGTTCATTCATTGCGACCCACCATCCACCGTCGATGCTACGCTCCATGTCACAGTGATACCGCCTTCCTCTCGTACCGCTGTTTCTCTAGATAAACCTTTATTTAAAGAATTATTAATAAATATATTATCTGTAGACCATGCAACATCTGCTGCTGTCGGCTTTAAACTTATTTACCTTTTTAATGCTAATTTTAAGTATTATCAAAAAAATCTGTCCTTATTTTAAGCGTTAAAAACCGTCAAAATTTATTAAGTTTTATTTTTCGACAGAATAAAAGTTAATTTGGAAATTTTTTACAACAAAATTAATTAATA